GTTTGGGATAGGGATTTTTTCGGTTTGGTTTGGGATTTTTGGGATTTTTTTCCAGCCCTAAGTTATATACATGAAAATCAGGCCCCAAATCTTTAGCTATTCAAGCTCTTTTACTTCCTAGGTTTTAATGCAGATTGACTATGTTCTACAATAGTAGGTTCATAAGTTTTAGAAGAATTAGAACCCCCACTATTTCGAAGATTAAAAGGAAATTTATTCTCGTAAAAATCAGCATCAAGTGACTCAATTATGACATGGTTTTTCAATTCATAAAATCTATATGCTTTCCTATTACATGCATAACCAAAAAAAACACATTCATAAGCTCTACTCGCCAATTTCGATCTTTTTGGATCAGGTTTACGAACATAAGCTAAACAACCCCAAGTTCTGAAATACAACACATTTGGTTTCTTATTTTTCCAAATTTCATAAGGAGAAATATTTATTTTTGAGTTAGGGATTCTATTTAACACATAACATACAATCAACACAATTTCACCCCACCAATAAGAAGCAGCTCCAGAACTAAGCAAAGTAGCAACAATCAATTCACAAAGAGTTCAATTTTTTCTTTCCGCTTTACCATTCATTTCAGGAGAATAAGGAGCAGTAGTTTCATGAATAATTCCATGAGACTTAAACAAATTAACAAATTCAATAGATTCATATTCTTATCCTCTATCACTACGAAATCTTTTAATCTTACGATTAAATTGATTTTCAACTTCAATCAAGAAAGTTTTGAACATGTCAATAGCTTCACTTTTATTTTTCATAAGATAGACAAAATAGTAATTCGAACAATCATCCATAAAGGTAATAAAATAACGTTTTCCATTTCTAGTTAGAACTCTATCAAATTCACATATATCAGAATGAATTAAATCAAGTGGTTCAGATTCTCTATTAATAGATTTATGTGAAGTTCAAGTGATTTTAGCTTGACTACAATATTCACATTTTTCAAAATCATTCAATGATAAGTTAGGTAAAAAACTTAAGTTACTCATGTTCTTAACCAAACATTTGTTAACATGACAAAGTCTAGCATGCCAAGTATTAAAAGAAGACAACATATAAGTAAAAGTAGACATTTCATCAACATTCAATTTAAACATCCCATCAATAACATATCCATTTCCCACAAAAACCCCATTTTTAGTGAGTGTATACGTATCTGCTCTAATGGTTTGAGTGAATCCAGCCTTGTTGAGAAGAAAGCCTAAGACCAGATTCTTCCTTATCACTGGAGCGTGCATCACATCTTTTAGTATCATGGTTTTTCCAGAGGTGAACCTTAGCTCCACCTTTCTAGTACCAGCAACACCAGTTGAGTGTAAATCACCCAACAACACATTCCTTCCCTCAGCCACATAATAGGTCTTGAAAAGGGAACGATCATAGCAAACATGGTGAGAAACGCCAATGTCCACCCATCATCCCTCGGATCCATCAACTACGTTGATTTCTGATATCATTGCAATCAGTTGCTTTTCAACAAGATTTGCCTGAGAAACAGAGTTTGCCTTATAATGCATGACAAATTGAATACGTCTTAAAATTGTTGAAAACTGGAATAGAAAGGAACGAAGTTACCCAAAAAATGTAGAAGCCTTGAGTGGTGAATGATTCTTGGGATGAGTCGCTCTCTTTAAGACATTTCGCGGCTCTACCCAAAGCGTGCAAGCAGTTCACAAACACCACGTTGTCCCCAGGATAAAACAGCCCAGAACCTTCTTCTTTTAATAAAGTTCTTCCTTGCACAGTGGAAGAACCTTCGAACTCACACCCTCTCAATATGTTGCTTACCAAAACTATATAACATGTTGATGCACAAAATCAGTGAGGACTTTGGTACAACATAAAGTGTTAAGTTTGTGACCTTCGCTAGATTGCTTCAGTCACTAGTGTGGATAAGTATGTAAATGGATAGGGACATAGAAGCAAACACAAGATGTACGTGGTTCACCCAGATTGGCTACGTCTACGGAGTAGAGGAGTTCTCCTTAATTGTGAAGGGTTTACACAAGTACATAGGTTCAAGCTCTCCTTTAGTGAGTACTAGTGAATGATTTAGTACAAATGACCTTAGGAAATATTGTGAGAGAATGATCTCTATTTATAGAAGAGAGTTTCTAGTTTCATTCTGACATTGACACGTGTCATGTTATGATTGGTTTCTGATATTGACACGTGTCGCGCTATGATTGGCTTCTGATGTCGACACGTGTCGCGCTGTGATTAGCCTCCTGGTTGGAGGGAAACTCTTCTGCGTCCTTGACGGTATAACGTTGACCGGTGCTCAATAGTTTCGAGATTGGTCAAATATGGTATAAACATAACAGAATATATATATATATATATATATATATATATATATATATATATATTGCCAATACTTTCATTGATTCCGGCGAGGATCCTCTCTCATTCATTAAGCTTACTATTAAAATTTAAAAGTGTTCTAAGTAATAAGGGTTTTTCTTAAATTAAAAAAATTAGTCTTTGTCAATTTGAAATTTTTTACTTTTGCTTAAATTGCAATTTAACCCAACATTTGGTGAACAATTGGCTGCCGCCCCCACCGTGTCATATGACCACCATCCCCAACCCAGAATGAGGATTCTCTCCGGATCCACTTTGTGAGGATCCTTGAGATTCTTTAATCGCGTCCGTTCATCGTACATCGTGCGGTCAATTTTTGTCATGTACTGCTTGTGTTCAATTTTAAATAAAAACATTTAAAATGATTTCTGACTGCATGATGATGTATGATGAATGGATACGATTAAAGGATCTTCGGGATCCTCACAAAGAGGATCCTGATTCCCCAACCATCACTTTATCACTAGCAACTCCAACACCACCACCCTTAATTAAGGGCCTTAACACATTTATTATGGTGGTGCTATTAATTTACTTATTTTTACTTCCCACATATTTCTTTTGTTAAATTTTGTCATTTGATATTCTTTAATTCATTCGATCCGATGATCAAAAATTAAGAGAGATGTGTGAGAAATAAAAATAGGTGTTTGAATAACTTGCTACCCAGAATAGTTCGCAAACTTTAACTAGAATATTACATCAAATCATTTTTTAATTCTCTTATAGAAAAATAATTTTGGAATTTTACAAACCTTACATCAAAGTAATAAGGAACTTTGCATGTGCTTATAAGTAATTAGACTACTTCTCGTATTGCCAATAAGTTTTATGGTGAAACCTCAACTTTCTTCATGGTATGAGAGCATGTTTTCATATGTGTGAAGCACGATGGCCACACGTGCTCCATATCATCCAATATGTGTTGTTTACGTGTTAGGCTTGAAAACTTGTTACACGTGAAGGGGCATGTTGAGTATATGAATCTCACATCAGGAAAAGAATCGACGTTACATGTGACTACTCTCCATATTGTCAATTGATTTTAGGGTTCTTTAGATATAGACCCTTGCAACTTTTATTTCCTAGACAAAAACCCACCTAGTTATAAACATCCAAATAAAACCCAAATTTAAAAATGATTGCCAAGTATATAAGTAATTGACCTATTATTACAAAATATTTACAATTTGTACCACAATATTCAAAATAAAATCAATAACTGTTATTACTCACATATTATTACCCCTAACACACACATATATATGTTCAAATGTATATATTACTAGTACTACCATAAGCTCAATATATATGTGTATATATACATATATAGTTTACCTATATACATATCTATATGTATATACACATACATACATACACACACGTACTATATATATATAGTACTACTATACGTTCACATATATATATATATATATATATATATATATACACATGCATAGTACTACATATATGATCAAACATATTAAACTAATTAATCTACCAATATTTAAATTTATGATGAGCAAATAACATATATTTTGTAGGTAATTTATTTTTCATGTATTATTACATATATTTGGCACATTTTATTATTATAAGATATATGTACAAATAATAGGTAAATTAATCTTGAATAAAATAAAATTGCTTTATTTTGTAAGTAAATTAATTTTGAATCAAATAACATTTCTTCATTATGTAGGTATTTTATTTTGTATGTATCATCATATATATTGGGCACATTTTATTATTATATGTACAAAAAATAGGTAAACTAGTATTGAATAAAATAATAGCATTTTTTATGTAGGTATATTATTTTGCATGTACTTTGCATATATTGGGTTTGCTTTATTATGTAGGTAAATTATGTTGCATGAATTTTTTTTGTATATCAAGCTTCTTTTTTTGTTTGTTTTATATATATATGCGTGTGTGTGTGTGCGTGCGCGCGTGAAATAATTTACCTACATTTATATGTAAAATATAATTTTATTGACTTAACTAAGCATGTATTACTACATTTATTAGGCATGTTTTGTTATTATTATATATTAGGCAATGAATTTATTATTTTTTAATTTTTTTGAAATCATTAATTCTCCCTTACAATTTTTATGGAATTAATTGTGTAAATCAAACATTCAAATAGGGGTGTTTTGGGCATCAAAATTTTTTAAATGTGTAAGTCAAATATAATTAATGAATTTGCTGATGTGGAATCTAGTCAATGAGTTTTATTCGAATAAAAAACTTATATCGGATTTTATGTGAAAAAAATTAAATTTCAAGAGCTAAAGTTATATTTTCAGTTGATTTTATGCTTGAAGCTTAGCTTCTTCTACTACACTTGGAATATTAAACTTCCTAAACCGGGTAACTGAAATGATGTCAGCTACGTCCCTCTTCCTCTGCACGTACCTGATTTAGTTCTTTCTTCATCATAGTATAATTGATATGGTCGGCAGATCATACCATCAACCATACATCCATGCATGTTAGCTACGTCCCTCTTCTTATGCACGTACCTGATTTAGTTCTTTCTTCATCATAGTATAATTGATATGGTCGGCAGATCAAACCATCAACCATACATCCATGCATCACAGTGCATTTTAATTATTTATCGATAATTAATATACCAAATCAAACAATGCATCAGAGTGCACTATATTACACACATTAAGTTTTTATTCATCAAACCATGCATCATATATAGTGCAGTTGTTTACATAAAGTCACTTTGCAAACCCAGAAAAATAAAGCAAACAAACAGAGCCAATCCAATGTCTTCTCGCAGGAGCGTCCGATCGGACACCGACCCTCTGAGAGTTGATGGCCAATACCAACCAAGCACACACTACTTCACAGTGAAAAGCCAATGGGCCAAGGCGCGAAGACTTTCCGTCACATCTTACATATATCTCCCGCCCTCCCCTTTATTCCTTATAAAACTTTATCTTAAGCTTTCACATCACATCATATCATACAAATCATGAAAAGGACTAAGCATACTCGGGTAATATTCTTCTGTCATTCCCTTCACATGTTACATTATCATACTGTTAATTTATATTATAAATATTAACAGCTGAGTAACATAACACGAAAAGCTATTTGACAAGAGATTATTGTTCTAAATATGCTTGCCTTAGTATTGCACTAGCGACGGAAGCTCCTGGCCATGCGCACAGGTGCATCCACCTCATCTTCTCGAAGCTTCACAGCTGTATAGGTACCTGCCCCGGCGACAGCTCCAAGGGTAGGAGCCACCAGGTATATCCACAACTTGGTGTAGTTTCCGGCAGCGATAGCAGGGCCGAGAGTACGCACCGGGTTCATTGAACCACCACTAGATGGCCTGCCAACGCCAAAACACAGCCATAATTTTCAGTACTACATTCCGCTTGGAATCTTTTATCTTTTGAAACTTTTGAGTGTAGGAGCTAAATGCCAAGATGATAACAAAAACAACACACACTACCCTTTTTTTTTCCTTTTAAATATGTGACGCTATGCCAAAATGAGGATGATGAATGAGTCATGCGACTCTTTTGATTGCTATAGGAACTACCAACTTGCCCACCCTCCAACCCAACAAAACAAACAAATGGCAAGCTTAACTTTGTTTGTATAAGGGATGTGCATAGGTCGTATGTGGTTTCCATTATTATGTAGTGACGAGTCCCTTTTTGAAGTACATTGTAATTGGAAAGCATAGTAATTATATTAGGCAACAAACTAAAGCATAAACAAGGGTCTCTTTTGTTTGCTTTTTCTTTTTATTCTATGGCTAGTCAACGATGGGAAACCTTTGTTGTCCTGTAGGGTGCTTGACACACCCCGTCCCGAAGGAGGGCATGCTGGCCGTCACGTGCTAGGTAGGGATGGAAATATACATTTAAGAATCACTCTCTTGGACGATGTGGGATATTACAATCCACCCTCTTTAGGGGCCCTACGTCCTCGTCGGCACACTACCGGCCAAGGATGTGGTGGACCTGAGCCGGGATGTGACAGTGCTAATTTAACGATATGCTCGACCATAATTGAAATTACTACCCAAAATAACTTTGTAGAAAATATGATATTTTAAACCATACTAATTTACGAAAAAAAAGATATAATATGACATAATTAGGCAAGAGAATTGTTATTAGCATTCCAAAAATGTCATTCTACACTCCAAATTTTTTATATTAGGAAAGAAAAATAAACTTGTGAAGAGTGTATAATGAGATTTTTAGAATGCTAATAACACTTCCCTTAGGCAAATATAGTACAAATTGATCTAACTCAGTATACTTTTAACTTTTATCGCGGAAAATAAGTAATTGTGTGCAGCATCATATTTTGTTTTAAAAGTTTTAGACTTACTATTTGATAAAATAAGAAAAAGGCACCTACCCACAATTATATTGAATTTCAAGAAAAAAAATATAGAAGAAATATTTTAAAAAACCCCACTTTTGCACAACGAAGGAACTTAGATATCGAATTTTGCCGGTAGTGAATCGTATCTAAACGTATAAATAGATAATCTTAAATAAACATTTGATAATTATTTCGTTTTTAGTTTTATTTTTTATTTTCTTTTAAGAAAAAAATTGAAAACTTATTTAATAATTGGTTTTCAGTTTTCACAAAAAACAAAAATTAAAATAGAAATTAAAACCAAAAGTTAAAAACTACTTTTAAGATTTTTCAAATTTTGGTTTGATGAAAACTGAAAAAATTTACTAAATAAGTTTAAAATTTTTTAGTTTTCAGTTTTTTTTTTCTTTTAACAAATTTTATTTGATATTATCTACACTAAAAGGGCGTTTGTTTGTCCTCACTAAGTGAGACTGTACTAGACTAGATTAAGTGTTTGTGTAATCTTGTATTTGATTCCCGTAGGGATTAACTTTAATGGGACAATGTGGGACTTGCATGGCCTAACGGGTTTGCTAAAAGGTATTAGCGAGGCCTAAACCTGGCATTCGTGTCGTGTTTCTCGTGTTCGTGCTATTTTCGTGTCATACATGATAGCTTAACAAGTCATGTCGTGTAACACCCATTAAAATAAACGGGGAATATGACCCGACCAGAAATTGACCCGTTACCCGTTAAAAAAAATTTAAATCAATAAATAATGAAAATGAAAAACATAATATGAACCAAAAAAATGCAAAACATAATACTAAATTAGTATATACGTACCACATTGTCACATAAATATTACTTCAAAACATTAAAAAAAAAACATTAATTTGTCTTTCAAGTTTACATATCCCAAAATAAGAGCCTAATGAAAAAACATTAGTGCATACTACAAAATGCAAATGTTCTAGGATATGCAAAATGAAGGGAGTTGCATTTCAAGGTTAAGGAACCTTGCACGTTTTTTACAATAAAACCCTTCAATTTTCATCAATTGCCAAGGGAAATGGTATTGGAACTTTGGCATGATATATTGTCTTCAAGGGTTATATTGACGATGGTTTCACTAAGGGTTTCCATAATCCATAAACTATAGATCTAAATTTAACCGTTGATTGTCGTTTATACTTTGTTCTCACCAAATTTTGTTTTTTGTTTTTTTTTTTTCGGATTTTTGTTTTTTAAAAACATGATCGCTTAGAGGATGCAAGAAGATGAACGGTTCAAATCGTTAATATTACGTTCAAAGTTTTACCATTAGAGAAAATATAGCTCGAAGTTTATAAAGTCTTTAGAAACTATATAACATCAACTCATATGTTAGTTAACTGTAAATATTGGAATGTCATATCAACAATCCGAACCATTCATTTTTCTATATCCGCTAAAATATCACTTTTCAGAAAAGAAAATCTAAAAAATGAAATTCGGTGAGTAGAATAAAGTGTAAACGTCAATGGACGGTTAAATTTAAATCTAAGGTTTCTGGATTATGGTGTCAAATTTCAGAGTTGACTCTTTCACGAAAGTTTACATGTTATGTTTCATTCAAATTCCTTTTACTTCTGGATGAAGATATACTATTCATGAGGGTTTGTATGGTTTTAAAAATTCAAACTACGATGTACCCATCCTCAAAGCGTAGAGGATGCGATTACGAGCATTTGCATATTTTTTCACATTTTTTGCACTTTAAATTAATTATTATAATTTTTTTAATGTATTTGGTATTTTTAAATTACTTGATATTTTTATTTTTAATGCGTTTTATAATGTTTTAATCTCATTCTTTGCCTATAATATACTGTAAAAATAAATAAATAAATAAAACTTAAAATTTTAAAATATATAAAGAATAATAATACAATAATAATTAATAAACAATATATACTTATCCTAGTAGATATTTTATAGTAAGTTTTCTTAGACCTATTACAACCCTTAAAGTAAAACTCAAATTTTAGATTCTAAACTTACCCCAACTTGCTCTAACCCTTGGGGCAAATATAAGTTAAAACTTAAAACTTATTTATGGGCCAAATTTAGCTCAGGATTCCTCACTAGGTTAGTGGGCTGACCCACCATATGTGTCTATTTTTTTTAGTTTTATATTTATAAAGTCATTGAATCCAACGTTTAAGATTTAATTTGATGAAATCTAACGGTAAAAAAAATATCTAATTGTCCAAATTTAAAACCAATGGCTAAAGTAATTAAATTTTTTTATGTGTTTCATATTCTTTCATAGTGTTTCACGAGATTCATGATGTCGGTTTTTTATTTTTCAATATTTGTCAGAATTTAAATATTTTTAGGTTAAAATATTCATAAAATTAAATTAGGATGGTCTATATAACTTTGTTTTAAAAAAAAAATTACTTTAAGAAAAAAACTAGCCTAAATTCATTTTTTAATAATTCGAGGTTAAAATTTTAACCCATAATGATTAGAGCAAAAAAATTGTTTCTGGAGTAAAAATTTTATGCTTTAATCCAAAGGTTGGAGATGGTCTTAGTAGTTTAAAAAATTAAAATTATCAAAATAAAATTCTTCTTATCGTGTCAAAATAAATTATCCGCATGTCACTAACGTGTAAATCTGTTAAGGACAACGGGTTTTTATCATATGACCCGATAACGACTCGATTAGTTATCGTGTTAACCTAAACCCGTTATTTTTGTATGTGTCGTGTAAAAAATTGTCAGGTACAGAAAGACCCTCCAAAATTGGGCGGACTACTAAGGCCAATTAGCTCTGCTTTGTCTCACCCCGCTTCACCCCTCCCATCTACTTCTTCCTCACTTGCTTCCCGACGAACCCACATCCCAAATTTCCCCTCTTGCTTCACAAGGAACACCTGATCGATATGGGAAATGGGTTCTCCATTTTCGTCGATTGAGCTGGAATCAGACCCAAAAAACAGAGATATGAAGAACTTAGGATTCCAAAACAAACTCTGAAATTTTAGCTCCCTCCGCTACCCGTAGCTCCAGCACCCGCGCCATGCCGTTTTCTTTGAGGCAAAACAAAATAAATACAAAGTTTCAAACTTTGAAAAATAAGAAGGAGGCTAGAGTAATTTGAGGTGGATCGGAAGAAAAAAGGGAGATGGGAGAATACAAAGGTACAGAGAAAGGAGCTAAACAGTGGGCGAAGAAAATGAAAGGTTTAGACAAAGAGAAGATGTCGAACAAAGAAAAAAAAGTAGAAAGAAGAAAGAAGATGATTCTAGAAAGAAGAAAAAAGGTAAAATATTATAAAATATTAGGATTTGATTAAATTTATAATAAAATGTTAAGAGATATAGATCATATAATATAATATTACTCATGATTCTTAATCCGGCACTACACTAAACACTTAATTAAGTCAGTCCAACTTAGTCTCAGAAGATAGTCTAGTCTGAGATAGTCCGGTGCAACAAACGCACTGGAGTAAGAGAGTGCACTAAGCCTCACAATAGGTTAGTAATAATGTGATTCAAATTCGTCTTTGATAAGAATCGAACCCAAAACCTATTAATTACAAATGAAAATGAATACTACTAGACTAAAGTTTCTTTTATTTTAAATGAGAACATAAAACTAAAACTTAAATGGTAAAGCACTCCAATAGTAGATAAATAGGATTAAGAAGGATAAACAGAGAGAGAGAGAGAGAGAGAGAGAGATTAAGTACTAACCCTGCCATAAGAATGTTTAGCATGACACAAGCCCCAACTGCTAAACCAGCCAACTCTCCCAACTGCATGTCACCAAATCCCAAAGGCATTAGAAAGACGGATTATATTTGAAATTAGTCAATAAGAATATGTGACATGAACAATCAAATTGTATTAATATATATGAGGTTGATATATTTACATACCGCTCGAGTGTCAGTTGCAACAGCAGTGACAACAAACAAGAGATTAAAAGTGATGATGAACTCAAGTCCAAAAGCCTGGCCAGTGCTCACAGTAGGCACCGTGACTCCGCCAGACATGTACGGATGTAAAACCCCTTTGAGAGTAAACGAGGCGCAAATGGAGCCCAAAACCTGAGCTGCGATGTAGGCAGGGACATGAAGCCATGGGAAATGTCGCAGGGCGGCAAACGCGATGGTGAGAGATGGGTTTAGATGTGCACCAGAAATGTGGCCTGTGGAGAGAATCACAATCATCACACCAAGCCCTGCGCATGCTGCATTTCCGATCAAGGACTCCGCTCCGTTGTACTTTTGGTTCACGATTGGTCCAGCACTTGCTGCAAACATCAAGATGAAGGTTCCTACGAACTCAGCTCCTACCTACATGTGATACATATTGTTAAACAAAACCAGTTATTATCCCACATGAGGAAAGTTTTGTTTTGTGTTACGGTATATAACTAACGTTGCGAACTTCTCCACTCATGGTTAATTGGGTTTAGGCTGATTTCCCTAATTTTATCAGTTGGAAGTGTTTTTAAATTCGTATTCGTATTCTAATATGTATAATATAAAGGGTTTAATTAATGTGCCTCTCTTATTAAAGGGTTTCAAACGCTTGACATAGCTTTTGTGTTAGAGAATAAAGTCTTACATCAGAAATTTCTCAATAAATTACAACTCATATTGAATAGTTCCATTTTTAATAAGATTGAGGTCTTTGATTATAAAATCCAACACATACTTGGTTGTACAGATAATTAAGTTAAAACTATATCAGTATATATGATTAGTTATGGACCACCTGAAATCTCAACAACTTATTCATCACCAGATCCACTTCGCCGCTGAGCTAACCCCAGTAGCTTTAGTGCATACATATTTTATGTGCAACAAACAAAGCTTTTGACCAATGAGCATATTCTAGCGGCAGGGGAGGGTTGCTTTTTAACTTTCTATGGCAATGCCTACCATCAAAAAGGCCTTTTTCAAATGTTGGAACCTTAGAAAAGTGCTCAAAGCACAATGAATGGGTCCTGGCTAATAGATATACAATAAAACATAAAGCAAATGAAAGTGTTTGAGTAGCATTATCGATCGTGTTGAAAAGCCTAGACATGAATTCTTAAGTCATGGTTCTATTAGCATCATCATATGCATATTTTCGGGAAATAAAATTAGTTGATAGTGTGATGATGACAACCGAGAACGACATATGTTACATATATGCAGTATATGTTTTTGTTCTTTTGCAATTATCTAAAATTTTTGTTGTTATATATATGCAAGTTATGTTTTTTTTTCTTTTGCGATTATTTAAATTTTTTTTTGGTGGATAAATTAATTGCTTCAAAAATACAACTTTTCGGTAGAACCGTCCTGGAATTTTTATTTTATTTTAAAGTGATTCGAATGTTGGAGGCTGATAGACTTGGGTTGTCATGCTATATTTGCTATACTTTTATGATATAATACAAAGAAAAACTAATGAAAAGGACTTGAAAACTTTGAGTTTTAATGATAAGGACAAAATAAAGGGTAAAGTGAATAGTACCAGGATTGACTTTTTAGTGTAAAAATGTGATTTTTCGTTAAAGTGAACAGTACCGGGTGCTTTTCATTAAAGTTCCCATAATACAAACGCTTGCATGACGTTATATGTGCAAGTATATTCCCAATTATATTATATATATATATATATATATATATATTGCTAAAATACATAGATTAGGTGAAAGAATTTCATTTTTAATACATGTACTCAATACCGCTAGCGGTCAAATGCGAACTACTCCTTTTTTGCTTTTATAATAGACTGCGGACAAACCAACCAGTCGTTTTTTCCTTTTAAAATAGACTACGGACAAAACATCTTCGACCGAGTATGTGTGTATTATTAATTTATTTATGTTTTTGAAAGAGTTACAAAAGATTATCTCTTTCTAAGAAAATAATATATTTCAGCCACCCATCAAAATAAATACGTCATTGTTGAAGCACCAGCGATAATGCAGAAAAATAATATTCAAAATATTTTCTTTCGATATGAAATTAATTTTGTCAAGTTTTAAACACCAATGGAGGTGACATAGATAAATAAGATAAATCATATCATTTGTTGTTAGAAACTTAGAATTGAGAATATAATTTAATTTTGATACTATTATTGATTCAAGTATAACTTAGCAACCAAGAAAAGGTTGACAGAAAATTAAATGAATTATCCCATTCAACTGGGGTTTTCATTTTTAAGTACGTAAAATGCAGCAGTTAAATGCAGGAGGCTCCCTAACAAAGAGAAGAGATCCAGAGAGGATCTCTTTCACCAAGGCCACCTAATCAAGTGATCTGAACATTTCAAATTTCATCCAACGCCTACCTGTTTTGACCTCTTAACAGCTGTAATAATTTTTAGCCGTTGAATAAAATTTAAAAGGCCCAAATTACTTAATCCTGTTAGGATGCCATACCAGATGGCACAATATGGTGGTGACAAGTGTACAAGAGGTTGTTATTAGTTAATTGGGATTGGGAGTTAGCTATAAGATAGTGGTTTGTAAAAGAAGAAGAAGTGAATGAAATGATATTGTTGTTCTGTTACTATCTCTCTGTGCAATTGTAGAAGATGTGGAGCTAGGTTCTAACATTGGTATCAGAGCCTAGGTTCCCGACACTGCGGAAGGGGAGACTTGGAAAGGGCTACCTTAACGGGACGACCAAAGGGTGCGCCGCCGTTAAGAGTGAAATCCACCTGAGTAAGGGCCGTCGTGGGCGTCAGCTTTCAAAGGGTGGTGTAATGTTATGATCCCACATCGACTATACTTATGGGGATGTAGGGGTTCTTAAGTCATTGGGGTCCTCCCACCTATTGGACTAGTCTTTTGGGTTGGGCTCTTCCCTTGGGCTTGAGTACCTAACAGATCTGGTAGCATCGGTGGAAGAGATTCTCCCTAACAAATTCCTTTTATTTATAAGGATGTGGCCCATGGTGTCTATTTGACAATTTCACGTTTTTGTATATACAAATATCAAGAATGATTTCACTCTTAATCTTATTAAAATTCGAGCCTATAACTCATTATCTCTAAAAAATAAAAATAAAAAAAATAAAAAAGGAGGCATTTCCGATGTTTGCTGAATACCAATTCCATGATTTACAGAGATCAAATTTACATCACTCATTTTGTCTATGTTTTTTATGCGATATTTATCATTAATTGACACGTATTAAGGTTATCACAAAAAAAATAAGGAGGTTAGTTTATTATCACGTATCAATCAATAATAAAGGTTACATAGAGATACAAAATAAGTATAGAAAATTTGAACTCTTATTTATATGTGAAACAAAGAAAGTAGAAGAAGGAAATTGAAGCGAGAGCAAATATTGGTAGCCCAAAGATTATACATAAAGTATTTTATAACTATAAAATGTTACGTTATTAAACGGTTATTTATACATTTGAATAAGAACCTGTATAAAGATGATTTGTGGGATTTGCTAGGCATACATTTGAAACCGAATCTCTCCTTTATTGGCTATACTAGTCACTCTAAGCTAAAGCTAAAATCTAAAAGCTTAACTAGCATTACCAATGATGGTATGCACATAATGACTAAGGATAAACAGATCATTAAGCAATAAAAATCATCTCCCGATAATACCTCCGATTCGACATGATTAAGATTGAGTTTAATCTAGTTCTCTAAACGAGACTTGTAAGTCATCATATGTTTGACTATTATCTAATTTAATAAGTACAATTTCGGCATTTATAGGTTTATCGAACAAAAAACAGAACATAGAAGTCCATTTCAATTGCTCTTGTTCTGTCCTAGACACCAAACGAGGCTAAACATCTACTAACCACACAATCATATGACAGCCTCAAATATGTGCATAGTAATATATTGTGGGTTTGCTTATGTAATGCATTACCTTGCGGCTGAGGGAGACAGTTGGAGTAGGGAACTCGTTGAAGCAGTTGGGAGATTGACCCCACGTCGGAGCTATCACAGGCAAGCACTTGGTTCGCGGCATTGACTTACGCTCATACGACAGCGAATCCACTCTCGGCTCTGAAAACAGAGGCAGTGGCGTTCCCGGCGTCGCCGGCGCCGAAGCCGATGGCGTCACCGGCTCAGATTCCGCCATTTCTAGCAACCAAAACCAAGGTAAAGAAAAAGGATAAAATACAATATATATATTTTTTTTTTTTTGGGGATTTTTTAGAATTGGGTTCTGGGAATGAGAAGCTCGGAGTTACATAATTTGAAGATTTTTATAACTTTTTTTCTACACGAGAATTTTGATAGTGGCCAGAGTGGGGGGCGACAATTTGGCTATGGATAGTACATACTGAAAATTACCTAATTTTTTTTTTTTTTTTTGGGGTTTCTTGGGTTGGGAATTTGGTTTCGGAAGGATAAAAAGTTACATAATTTGAAGGTTTTTTATAATTTTTTTGCTAAGGGATAGAAGAAACGAAGAAATCCAGTGTACCCACTAAAAGGATAGCTCTAGTTTTTCATACAAAAAGCAATCAAAGTTAAAAAAAAAATTGGGTTTTTTGAGAAATGGGTTTTGTGGGATTGGATTGAAAAGTCTGAATTACATGCTGGGAATGATCTTTTTTGAGGTTCTTTTTTAAGGAAGAATGATGAAAACGGAAGAATCCAGGTTCAAAACCAGAGCAACAAAACAGCAGAAAAGTACAGACGATTTTAAAAAGGACTGAAACTGAAATTGTAACCGAAGTGTTTTTTGGGTCAAAAGAAGGAGGAGGAGGATTGGATTGCACAATAATAGAGGTGAACTGCAGAAAGAAAAGAGATATAACTCAGAGGCAGTCAGGCTTAAATACATAGGCGTGTGTTTATATATAGAAAATCGAGACAGTACAAACTCCAACCTCTCTCTGTCTGTGTCTCTTTCTCTCTCTCTGTGCATTATTTTAAGAAGGAGAAAGTCAATGGCAGCCATTGGGGCATTGCATTTAACTGTTTTCATACACTTTTTTGCACTATGCAATGAGTCACTGCCAGTGGCCTCCCGTAATGCTAGCAAAGTCCACTGCCTAATCCACCGTGGTGTACCGTGTAATCGTGTATCACTAGCTTTTGGTTTGATAATGAAATGATTTCTGCATATTCTTCTTCGTCTGCAAATCTTTATTCATTTCTCATGTGGGATTTAGAAGAGAAGCTCGACAAATTGACAAATTCTGGCGGGAATGGTAATTTCTTGGGTGAAAACGTTTGTAACCTTCGTTATGTCAACTTGTATTAATTAGGGTGACTTTGTGTAAAATCAATAAACAGTTACAGTATTAACAATAGATCAATAATATTTATGTTATTTATAAATAAATACATCATATATTGTGATACTTAAATGAATTTAAAATAAATAAAAATTACAAAATCTGTCACTACAACTGGGACCCACTTCAACTAACACTCTTTTTCTCATAGTTTTATATTTCCTCATTCTGTTTTTTACATTTAGATTCAGACACTGCGTTGCAGTGTTCATTTACTAGTTTCGTTTTTGCCACCACTTACACACCACCTATGTAGTCCTTTGTACATTTGGATTCTCTAGTTATATTTTTTTACTTTTGGATTCAAACGCTTTGTTGCAATGTCCCTTTTTTGGTTCTATTTTTTTTTCATCACACACATCTCCTACACTTCACACCTTGCACGACTCCTGATTTTTGCATATAGATTTAGACACTATAATGTAGTGTCTGTTTCCTAGCTCTGTTTTTGACATTTAGATTCATATATTGTAATGCAGAGTGAGTTTCCTGGTTCCATTTTTTACATTTGGATTCAAACACTGCAATGTAGTGTCCATTTCCTGATTTCGTTTTTCTAAGTTGAGCAGACTTTTCGATGTAAACGAAGGGCGAGAGAGAGAGAGAGAGAGAGAGAGAAAGAGTGATAGAATATACATTTTCTAACTATTTATAGGATTCAGACCTCTCAATATCAGTTCCATAGGGATAAAACTCCAACGGCCAAAGCTCTTCCCCCTCAATTCCTTTTTCTCCCTCGCACCACCACACCCCACCGCTGTTAACAAACCACAAATTCAATTGCAGGTCATATGTGCTCTAAGTCTAATTTATTTTTTCGCTATCCCTTACTTTTTAGCTTTTTATTCGACATCTCTTTCTTCTTCTTTCTTCTTATTCATCTTTCATATTTCTCTCTCTATAATTCTTCCATAGTTATGAAAAAAGATCTCTGCAACCAAAAGACATTGGTATGGACCCCTTTATTTGTTGTTTCATTAGCATCTACTGAGATTTTAAGGTCGAGGGACTTACAATTGAGGGATGTGGTGGTGCTAGGGTTGATTTTGGAGAGTGTAAGGTGAGGGACCAGCAATTGGGGTTATGGGTTAGGTGGGTTGTGGCGGTGTTGGTGGTGTTTTTGAGGTGGGGTTGAATTTAATTTGGAATTTGGGGAGTTGGTGATTCGAAGTTGAGAGCTTTGAAGTAAGGGAGAAAAGAAGAGTTGAGGGGAAAAGAGGAAGGATTAGTGATTTTAGCCGTTGGATTTGTATCAATGAATGAGATCCCATATGACATTCATAGAAAAAGAAAGAGAGAATGGTAGAAGAGTCAAATTCTAACTATTTATAATGACTTAAAGCCTAGGTGGCATTCATCATTGACTTATGCCTAATTAATAAAAATATATCATTGATTCAGTCCAAAAAAAATGTTATTGATATATGGCTTAATAGTAAAGTTTTTATTGACTTTTGGCAAAATTACCTTATTAATTAAGTCATATTTGCTTAAATTCTTTACAAAAAAATATCATAAAAAGACATGAGGGTGCATAAAGTGCAAAAAGACATGAGGGTGCATAAAGTGCAAAAATTATTTTGCGTTTAATAATAATGATACTTATCTTTTCAAGATTAATTGAGCGTATGGTCCCAATTTTTTCACGTAAGAACTTGCAGTTATAATTTTGGCGCTTGAAATGCTCTAGTTACTAAGAATTCAATTAAGGATGATATGTTAAATCAATAAACGAATCTTCACGGTTTTAAGACGTGATAAGAGTGCGAGAAACAAGCAAGTGGGAGACCAGCTAGTTTCTCTCTCTAGGGAAAAACTCTCTCTTTGATGAAACACCAACCCAGTATTCTCCTTTGCAGCCGGCACTAACCTTTGGTTTGGGTGTCAGTGGCAACCCATCCTTAGGCCATCTCCAACCGATGGCTAGCTAAATGGCTCGTTTTAGCCCTCTGGTCCTCCAAGAAATTAATATTTTAATGAACAGTACATGACCATATTTGCTTTCATCTCTAACCGAGGGCTAAATGGTCATAGGGCTCGTTTTAGCCTTGTAAAAAAAAAAATCGTCTCCAACCGAGGGACATAGGGCCACAGGGCCAAACATAATTTATTATTTAAAAACCACAACTTAAATTCAAATACAATGACTAGGTGACGTCAACATGAAATAGGCGTTTAAGTTTTATGTTGTTAAATGTTTTTAAGAATGTTGTTTAAGTTTCATGTTGTTAAATGATTTTTTATGTTGCATAATTTTTATGTTCGTTAATGTTATTTAATGTTGTTTCATATTGTTTAATATTATTTCATGTTACTTAATTTAATTTAATGTTGTATAATGGCTTAGGAAGTTATGGGAAAAAAAAATATGAAACAAATTTTGTAAAATAGAAGTTATATGAAAAAAATGGAATTTAAAAGAAAAGAAAAAATAAGTTATAGGAAAAAAATTTGTAAATAATAAAAAAAATTCAAAAATAACGGCTAGCTGATGTCGGCTAGTCGTTGGATTCAAAAATTTGTTTAAGAATTCCGGTCAAATACAACCGACAGGATTAATAACAATATTGTCGGTTATATCCAACATCAATTCTTAAATTTCTTGTCAGCTCCGGGCTGGTTGGATTGGGCCAGCCTTTTGGCCCTTTCAAATTTCGTGGGGTCCACGAGCCCTCTGGCCTAGCCTTCGGTTGAAGACGGTTTTTGGGCTATTTTCGACCCTTTGGCTTTCTGGACCCTTCGATTGGAGATGGCATTATATTCTTCTCATTCCCTCTTTCTCGCAGCCCGCTACACCTTCCCACTTTTCCTCATCCTTCCTTCCCATCTCGTCTACCATTTCCCTATTTTCTTCCCTTCCCTTTTCCTCTACTTTTTCCCTCTTTTCCTCCCTCCTCATCTCCTCTAACCCTTCCCTCTTACAGCTTCACACTCCCTCTTCCTATTTTTCGTCTTCCTTGAGCTTGGTCTCAATAACCCTGAGCTTGTCTCAGATTTGGGCTACATTCCCCTTATCCGGCGTTTTTTTGCGTGTTATTATTGTTTTCTGTCTGTTAATTTTTCTTCCTCCCCCTGATTAGCCATGATATTCCATCACCACCTCCATCATGTGCTTAGATATGTGGGCTACGATTCGAAATTGGATATCAGATCCATTTCCCTCCCTCACTTCCCTTCCCCCAACCAATGTACCGGATCCTTGTCAAGGCCAAGTGTTTTGTGGCCTCTGTCACTGTTTGGGTATTCTACATACCCCTCATCCTCACTTTCTATTCATATGGTACTTTGTTTGTATATATTTGCAGGGGTTCGTGAAGGGGATTTGGATTTGGTGCTACTTTCTCGGTTCGGAGTTTGGCTTCATTCTAGGATGTGGAGGCGGCGATGGTGGCGATTTGGTTTATGCTGCTTCATATTAGGGTTTTTTGTTGGTTTTTTTTTTCTGACTATGGGGTCTAAGTTTGTGTGGGTTCCCCTATGTATCTTGGGTTGTAGCTCTTATTTTGCTTGGGCGTTTTACTTTACCTACTGTTGTTTACAGGAGACTTTTTAGTCTCTCTTTCTTGTACTAGTTTTTTAATTAAAGTAATTTTGTTTGACAAAAAAAAAACTTTATGCCTTAAAGTAACCTCAATTTTAACAAGTACCATTGTTCTAAAAATCTCCGCCTAGGCCATGCCCCGATTAATGCCTAGGTGTTTAAAAATTAAGAACGGGTGCGTAGGCCCGTGTTGGCACCCTCCTAGACCGCCTAGGTACTCACCTAGCCCGTCCAAACCCGTCTAGGTTGTGACTCATTTAGACAAAAAATATCTAACTTTCATTCTGCATTTTTTTAATAAATTATAAGAGACTTGTTGAATACTTAAATGAACACACATTATATGTTTGTTCCCCATGTTTTCATTATGTTCCAATTTCATAATATATAAATGTCATTCTATTTTGTAGTTTATGATGAAATTATATATTTTTTAAATATAAACAGACACTTATTTACACAAAATATAATATATTTAATTAAATCCGTCTACTTCACCTAGACTCGCCTAGCTGCCTAGGCGCTAGGCCCTAACCGGTCGCCCGACTAGCGCCTAACGTTTTTTAGAACCTTGACAAGTACTGAACTAAAATGTTGGAATCGTGGTTTCCCATGACAATTCTCTAACCGGTGCTCCAAGGTCTAAAGGTAAGAGTGTCCTTTGTTTCCTTTGTTCGTTGACATGTTTAGCATTTGATATAAATTTCAATTTTCGTTTATCAGTGCAACATATTATTCTTGTGTGAGGATGTGTAAGAAATTTCTCACGCCAAAGTTTATAAAGAGTCAAGCTACTCACTATGTTATAAATTGTTTTTTTAAATATTTTGGATGCGATCCCTAATTCTTAACATTTTTTTATTAAAACCTTAATAGTATTCAAAGTTTGATCAAGGTTCCTTGACTTTGTACACCTCATTATAGTACTATTAATATTTATAGTTTTATAGTTTTGACGTTAATTGTTTGATATTTTATTAAATTTATAATCCTATAAATTTAAAAT